TTTTATATTATTTGTTTTTCGTTGTTTTTCTATTTCTTTCTTCTATTATTTATCAATTTTATATTCATTTATTCCTTTTTATTTATTTTTTATTAATTCTTGAGTATTGTATATTTCATTATTATTTCATTTGTGTATTATCAAATTATATGTTTTATTGATTTTATGTTGAACAAAATATTGAATATAATCAATATTTTCATTCTTAATTATTCATTATTTATTCTGAAATGTTATGTATATTTATTATATTAAATTAATATGATGAATGAATATCAATATTATTGTTTATTTGATTTTAAAAAATAATAAATGAATATGAAATAATGAAATAATGAAAATAATGAAATAGAATAATCTAATATTGAACAAATCAAATAAAGAATATATTGAATATATCATTATTGTTACTTTATTATTTGTTATTTCAATTATTAAATATTAATAAATTATTATTCATGAATATTTAATTGATATTTTACATTTTCATTTTCATTTTATTTAATAAATGAAATATAAATAATGAATGAATAATAATTTAATATATGAAATAATAAAAAGAAAGATAAATAATAAAGAAATATGATGTATTTAATATATAATATAAATTATTATCAAATATAATAATAATATCAAATGATGAATTATTTTTATTTCAAAATATTTTGCATCAATAAAATATGTTGCTAAATATTTTGCATCATTAAATTTTGCGCTTTTTTTTATTGCGCTTTTTTATTTGTTTCAATAAAATTTGCATCCTTTATTTTTTTCATTCTTTTCTTCTTTTATCATCTCTTTTGTTTTATTACACTTTATCTTCTTTCTTTTTATATTCTCTCCTTTCTACTTTTATTCTTTCTTCATCTTCTTCTATTTCTTACTTTCTTTTTATTCTTTTATATCTTTCATTCTCTTCTTTTTCAATTATTTGCTTTTTTCATTGCTATTTTAACATATTTATAACATTCATAATCAATTCTCATTTAATAACAAATATAATCAAAAATCAAAGTAATTAACATAATCAGAAATAAAATAACAATAATTGGTGTAGAATAATTAATTATTATTATGAAAATAAACAAATAAAATGTTGAGAAATAATAATGATGTTAAGAGATAGAAAAGAAAACAACAAATAAAATAATGAAGAATAATAATATAAGCAATGAATATAAAGAATGAAATTACTTCAAGAAAATAATACAAATGTCTGAAATGAACAAATCAATAATTACATTAAATGATAAATGAACAACAATAAAATGAAAATGATAAAAACAAGAAATGAAGATATAATAATAAAGAAATAATAATGAAAATGAATTAACAATTCATAAAATATCAGACATTTATATAGCAGAAAAAACAAATAAAAGTAATTCAAATAATAATTACAATCATTGAATAAACAAAAAAAGAAACAGTAAGAAAGAAGAACAAAAGAATATAAAATTAAAAATAAATAATGATTAAAGATATAATGATTAATATGAAAAAATTGATGAAATAATATAGAGATACGAGAGGATGTGAATATAGAGATATATAAATACAACATGAACAATACTCTTTATAGAGTGAATTGAAATAACATCAAACAAACAAAATAAAAAAGAAATATCAATATCTACTGAAACTTAATTGAATAATTTTTATTTTATTTATATTAATTATTTTATGGCTATTTTTTATTTCATATATACTTTAAGTTAGTCTAAAATTAATATAATTTTCACAATTAAATCTTTCATTTTAATAATAATATAAATCATTCATTAAGTTTCTCTAATTAAAGAAAGAAAAAGTGAAAATGGTTAATAATATTATTTAACTTTTAATACAATAAAATTAAAATAAATAAAAATCTTAATTCAATTCAAAATCAATTAAATAATTGTTTAATGACATTTTCATATTTCTTTTGTATGAAATTTCTTTTTAATTTCAAAGCAGCAGTTAATATACCATTTTCTGCTGACCATTCATCTTCAACCAAATAGAAATTTTTAATTTTTTCATGAGAAGATAAAGAAGAATCAACTTCACGTAAAGATTTCATAACAATATCATGGAATTCACTATTTTTAAATACATCTTCAAGTTTAATAGATTTTTCAAGAGCAAATTCTTCCATTAATTGTTTGTTAGGGACAATTAATCCGACTGTAAAGTCATAATATTGATTAGCAATAGCACAAAACATATCACAATATTTTGATAAATTATAAACCATTTCTACTTTTTCCAATGAAATATATTCTCCACATGGTTGTTTAACTAAATTTTTCTTTCTGTCAATAATTTGAATTCTTCCTGAAGGTGTAATTTGTGCGATGTCTCCTGTTTTAAACCACCCGTCTTCAGTGAATGAATTTTTCGTTTCTTCTGGTCTATTAAAATATTCTTTAAATAAAGCAGGTCCTCTTAATAATAATTCTCCTTGTGGTATTTCTTTATCAGTAGTATATCCCATATCCTCTACATCAATTAATTTAGCCTCAAAATGTGGATATAATACTCCAATAGTTTTATAAGCAAAATCTCCATGAAGCATATTTGAAACTGGACCACAAGCTTCAGTCATACCATATCCTTGCATAATATCTACACCTGCAAGAATAACTTGAAGATATTCTTGAAGATCATCAGATAAAGGAGAACCTCCCATAATAACAGCAAATAAAGTTTTACCAAAAATTTCTTCTTTAATCTTTTTAAAGACAAGAGAATCAAAGAGTTTAATAAATGGAATAAATAAATATCTTGGTCTTAATTGATAATCAACATAAAATTTCTTTTTAAATTGAAATGCTATATTAAATAAAAATCTAACTATACATGATGATTTTTCTATTTTATCTGTTACAACTTTTCTTATTCTATTAAATACTGTTGGTACTCCATTCATAAATGATGGCTGAAATGCAATCATATCACATTCACTATCATACATATATGTTGATGTTAATGTTCTTTGAGAAGAATATCCTAAGCATCCTCCATATACTAAATTACAAAATTCAATTGTTAATTCAAAAATATGAGCTAATGGTAAATAACAAATGTATCGTGTTTTATTTGAATATCCCATTATATGATTATATGAATATGTAATACAAAGTAAATTCTTATGTAATACAACTACTCCTTTTGGCTCTTTTGCTGTTCCTGATGTATATAAAATCATTGCTATATCTTCTTCTTTTGGAATATCATCTTCAACTTTTGGTGCATCTAAAATAGATGAAAGTGTTGGAATTGTTGTGTCTTCTAATGGGTCACAACTTATTAATTTAATTGACTTATAAACATCCAACTGAATTGTTTTTTCATATGTTTCTTCTGAAACTAAAACTCCTTTTACGTTTGTTTCTTTTAATGCAACATCTACAGCATCAGCTCCAAGTGTAGCATAAACAGTAACAACTATAATTCCTCTACAAGCACAAGCAAGAACAAATGCCATCCACTCATATCTAGTTTCACAAAATATAGCTATTTTATCTCCTTTTCTATATCCAAGAGAATATATTCCATTAGCTAATTTATGAATATATTCATAATATTGTTTATCAGACATATACTTATAATCACTCATTTTATATTTATACATTGTCTTTTCTATTTCTTTTCCTTGTACCATAGTCTTTACTGTTTTAAATGGAACTTTTTCTATAACTTCTCTATATCCAATTAAATGGTCTTGTCCTTTAGTTGGAAAAGATTCTATAAGTTGATATAATGTAGTATATCCTTGATCTGGTCGGTCAATTAATTTGTCCTTTCCAATAATATCTCTTCTTACTCTTGTTTCATGTGGGTGTGCTTCACCAACCCAACACCCAAATTTCTCTTTTGGGAGTGGTTTCTTTCTTAAAAAGAATAATATAGTACAAATCACAATAATAAAAGAAGTGACTACTATGCCTATCATATCTGAATTATTTCTACTTCATTTTTTATAGTTCAATTATTTCTTTAAATTTTAGGAGATTTAATTCTTAGAATATTCTTTTTAGTCTTTTATTATTCTTTTTTAGTCTTTACCTCCTATTTTTATACTTTTTATCTTCTTTTTATTATTTCTTAACTATTTTTACTACTCTCTCTCTTTTTTTATTCACTCTAAGAACCATCGATTTCTGCTCCTTAGGCTTTACCCTTTTGTCATTGAATAACACAAATTTTTTTGAGAATGAATCACAAAAAATAGAGTTGAAAAAGGGTTTTTCTATTTAAAAAAAAAGAAAAAAGTATTACAAAAAAAGTCAAAAAAAAAAAGAACTTGAAAACTTCAAATATGAACAATTCTGGGGTGTTAAACACAAACAAAGAACAGAGACTCTTATTGACAACAATATCAAAAATTGGATTTTTCCTTCTTTTCATTGTTTTTGCAGTTCTTGTTGTTATAGCTCTTTTTGTTAGTTTAAATGCACCAAAACCATGGTCAACAAATGAAATAAGTTCATGGAAATGTGCTGGTGATGATGCACAATTTAATCAAAATTGTGGGGGAGTAAATTTGTTAGATAAATCCAAAAAAATAACTCTTCAATTAGGTGCATATGAAATTTTTAATCAAGAGTCTCGTTTAGAATATTATTTCAATAAAAAGAGTTCTAAGAAAGATATTGCCTGTTTGTTGTGTTATTATCTTTTAAAAAATATTCTCTTGATTGGCGTTTTATCTTTTCCTGTCTTTTCATTTTAAGAAAGTCAAAAATTTCAAGTGGGATATTAAAATAATTCCCAAGAAGAATTTAAAGTTTAACTTATCTTTTTTAGTTGATGGATTTGTCAAATTTAGATATACATTATATGGAACTAATGTATTAAATCAACCAAACCAAAAAGTTGAAGTAAGTTCATTAAAACTTATTGAAGAAAAAACAATTGAAAGTAAAGTACATTGTCCAGCTAGATCTACCAAATGTGATATTGGTTATATCTCATCAGAACTGTATTTAGATTATCCAATTTATATTATTGAAATTTCTATAATTAATGAAAATGTAAAAGATATTGTTAGTGATCTTATCTTTAAAGCATCATTTGTTTCAACGTTCTATACTATTTTTGAATTATTCTGGAGACTTATTTTTATTTTATTCTCTTGTTTGTGTACTTGTATTTATCTTTGGGCTAATAGATCCATTCCACAAGAAAAATGGAGTCATGAACAAAAGTGGACAGTTGTATTATTAACATTCCTTATTTGGGAAAATAATCCATTATATCCATATGAATTTTTAATGGATAATGCTTTCTATTTATTTGTTAATTCTGTTATTGATACTATTTTCATATGTTTCTTAATGTTTTATGTTCTTATTATGTTTGATGCATTAAGAAAACCAATTCGACAAAGAACAAGTATTCGATTCTATTTACCAAGAGGTTTATTGTGTGGTTTATTATTTTCACTTATTTTAGCATCATTCATGTATAACAAAACAAGAAAGATTTATTCACCTACAATGACTGGTTCACATGATGTATTTAATGTTATTATTTCATTAGGTATTATGGGTCTATTAATTATTTATTTATTCTGGTTAATATTCTCTATTATTCGTTCATTCTCAGAAGTTCGTAAATTAGGAAGTGCTGGTTATAGAGTTCAAGTCTATGGTATTTTCACTATCTTCATTTTATTATTCTATGTCTCATTATTACTTTCAGTATTCTTTATGGGTTATCGTAATAATGCTGCTGTTTCTTTAACAACTATTGCATTTGTTAATTTCTATTGTATGGTTTTGACTATCCTTTACTTACCATCAAATGTTGTTGACCAAAAAGAGGAGAGAGCTAAAATTGTTAAATTGGATGATGATGAAGCTTTAGAGTTAAAAGTAGAAGATTATGATAATGAAGAGTCTCATGGAGATGAAGTGGTAATTGCAGATGATGAAAATTAATTTTCTTCTTCTTTCAAATTAAATTCCTTCTTGCAAATTAATTTCTTATATCTCTTTTTGTATAATCAAAAACCGTTAATAAATAAAGAATATAATTTGTCCCAAACTTTTAAATTAAATGATAAAATTCTAACACATCTTTTGGCATAGCAAATCGTGGGTCAATTTCACCAATAATATCTGTATATTTCCTCATTAAACTTAATCCAGCAATCCCAAAATATGTATGATAAATATCAGCACAATCACCTGGTCTATCAGCAATACCACCATCTTCCATATCTTGTGCTTGTAGAATAAACTTTTCAAGTGCATCTTTATCAATCCAATCAACTTTTCCAAGAATAATTAATGAAGTTAATACCCACCATGAATAACATACATCTGGTAATTTCTCAGGTCTTCCATTAAGTCCTCCTGTCACTGTTTGTCTTTCACATAACCACCATGCTAATTTCTCTTTATCTAATACATCTAACCGATTTAATAATGCCAAACAAGCTACAACTGTAAATGTTTGACCAGCATGTGATTCTGCTCCTGGGATACATCCAAATGCTCCATCAAAATTCATACATTTCATTAAGTAATTAACTGCTGCTTCAGTATTAATGACGTCTAATTTACCAATTAGAGTTAATGCTAATACAGCACAATATACAAATCTATTATCAGACTCTCCCCAATGATCAGCAACAAAACTTCCATCTTCTCTTTGACATGATTTAATAACTAATAAATTAAGTTCTTTTCTATTGACTTAAAAAATAAAAATATAATTAAACAAACAATTAGCAACTTGTTCAACTGGAATTAATGAACGTTTTCCTAAAATACATAATACTTGTATTGCACTAAGAGTATTGTATATATGTCCATCATATCCAATATTTCCTCCAAATCCACCTGTTTTTTCATCAAAACATTTCATACAAAATTGTGTTAATCTTTCTTTATCTTCATCAGTAACTTTATTTAATAAATGAAGTGTTGTAATTCCCCAATAAATACCACATATTTTTAGATGAGAACTTGTTATTGACTCAATATCATTTTCATTTTCCTTTTCTTTATTTCTTAGAAATTCAATGTGTTTTTGTGGAATGAATGTCATCTTTTTTCAAATTCAAGTTCTTGTTCATAAACTATATTTTTATAAATTTAATATAATAAATTTTACTATTATTTTTCTTAAAATATAATCACGAAAATGAAAATTTCTTCCTCATTTACTTTTTAATCAATAACGTATTTCAATTAGTATCTTAAAACAATTAAATTTTAGATTCTCTTTACTACATACGACAGTAAAACACTATTTTTATGAATAAGCATTCAGAAAAATATCACTAATTTTATAAAAGCTATCATATTAAAACAAAATATTTTTTAATAATTATTTCACTCAATTCTTTAATACATCATATACCTTGGTTCTTATTTGTTATTATAATGTTAGCACATAACAAATTTTTGGAAAGACTTACTTCTATTGAAAATAAAATTAATTAATTTTTTTAGTGGTATTGTTATTGTTTTAAATAACGTTTTTTACTGTGTTGATTTATGTTATTTATAATACTTATTTTTGTAGGTATTAAAGATTATTGATTAGTTATTATTATAGACGAATATATTATTTCTATGATTTGTATTTCAATTTAGCTATTATTTCAGAGTAACAGTTGTTTATATATTTTATGTTTGTATTGTTTTTTTTTCATTATTTTTTTGGGAGATCGAAGGTGGCATGTCTAAAACACCACACAAACCCTAGTACAAATTCAAGCATCGACACTTCCAGTTATTTTCTGGTTATGACGGTGTATTTGAATTAGAAATGTATTAGGTAAAGTTGCAAAGGGTGTAGCAAGATATTATGATAGAATATTACATGGTGTAATATAAGGAAGTACTGAAGTGTGGGTAAGACTAAAAGAAAATTAAACATAATAATATAATGGGAATGAAATAGTCTCTTCTCTCATTCATAAAATTAAGAAAAAAGGAAAAAGAAAATGTTTAAAATTAAGGCAGAAAATAAACAAAAGGTTAAAAAGAAGAAATAAGCAGAAGAAGGATGAGAAGACATTAATAGGAAAAAATAAAACAAAGAAGTGATTTTTTCATTTGCAAGAAAAACATAAATGATAAGTTAAAGAAAAAGATTACTGTTTTTTAAACAGCTCAGGGATTAATCTCCGCTAAACTAGGAAGAATATATGAAAAATCTATTAACACTTAATTAAGTAATTTTTAATTATTCAATGAGTTAATTCAAATAAGAAATTGTAAGAAATGACAATTCTTGTATAATGATTATTGATAATTTTTAATGGTAGTTTGTATTTATTAAAAGAAATCAAAACATAATTAAAGTATAATTATAAATATATTCGAATATTAATATGTTAGTATGAAGTACTAAAATAAATAAAAGTAATACTATACATTTTTATTATGTTCATTCAAAGAATTTAATTGAAAATGATTGAATTGATTATTTTATTTTGGTCTTTTTTTATTCTTCTTGATAAACACAAATTAATAATAGAATATAAGAATAATTAATAAAAGAGTAAGAAAGATGAAATAGAAACAAAAGAATAAGTATTTTGTTCAATGGTTTATGATAATTTTAGAATATACCAAACTAATTTTCAAAGATTTTTGGTAGTAGGCATTTCATATTTTTGTTTACCAAATTTAAAATATTAAAAGACTGAAATAATCCCAAGAAACACAATTTTGTTATAAATAAAATTTGATAAGAAAGGAAAGAAGATATTTAAAGAAAAAAAGAACAGAACTTCAAACAAGAAATCAAAATACATATATGAATACATTAAGTATAAAGTAAGAGATGAAAGACTTAATTAAGAAAGAAGAAGCTAGTAATTAAAAGAAGTGAAAGTAGAAATGAAGAAGTACAAAACAGGGAATATAAAATAGAAAGAAATAAGCAAGAGAAACTTAAGAGACACTATCAAACAGATAGAGGAGATGAATA